TGGCACAGCTCCAGGAGATCTGTGTTCTCTCGCCTCAGCTTCACCTTCTTGCTCAGCGTCAGGGAAGGATCCTGCAGGCATGGAGGAGGGCAGAGAAGTCACCTGCCAGCTACCTCTGTTTCCTCAGCTTCTTTCCTCCCATCTTCTTCCCCATCTCTTGCCCTCCAGAAGATGAGCCACCACGCTCTCCACACACATGATAGCCCTCAGCTCACCCCACAGTAAGCTTCCAACTTAGCTACAAAACCATGAAAGAGGGCTAACACACAAAAACACCAGCAGCAGACTGTGTAGTTTGTTTTCAGACTTAAAATAGCTACTTCCTCTCCCCTGAGGCCACAGGATCAGCCTTGGGCTTTACTTCAGCCTTCCCCTTGAAGATTTTAAACTTGCAAGGTGTTGGTTTCCCTCACCTCTTCCTCTTCACCCACCCCAAAAACACTTGTAGACTTCCTTAGGGCACGAGACTGGCAGAGTTCACCATGAAGGGCCACAGGCAACCAAACCCCTGCTTCTGGCATCTGTCTGAAAACCTGTTGCTTTCTGAGCCTGCGAAAGCACCTGGTACTCCTCACCTTCTTCCTCCTCTCCTGCTCCTGCTCCTTCAGGGCCTCCAGCACGGTCCGAGCTTTTTCAAAGGGAGGGATCTTCAACCTGAGAGAGTTACACGCCAGCCTGAAGCCTCGCTTCTGCCACTTCCAGTGTCTACCAGGTGAGGAGGCACGGCCGGCTTAGCCAAGGAGCTGCCAAGCTCCAGCAAACTTAGACTGAACCTCCGAGGCAGGTCAGCGGGTGCTCAAGCCACCTTACCTGTACAGGATCTCAGCACGCAGGTAATTCCCAATTCCATTGAAATACTTCTGGTTTAAGAGAACCTCACAGATGGGCTTGTCAAAAGCCCTGTCATCCAGGTTCTTCAGCACATTCTCCCTGCAAGCGAGCACGGGTCATCAAGAAGAGTCGCCGGGACATGTCCGTGCAGGAGAAGCAGCCAAAAGCGGGCAGGGGCATTCCTCAGGACGCTCACCTGAAGGCCTGGTACTCGGACACCACGCAGGGGCCGCGCTCCGGCTGCCAGGCGTGCCCCAGGCGCCAGGACCCGAAGCGCCGGGGGTCGACGAAGCAGAGGGCGCGCGGGGGGCTCTCACTGGTCAGGAAGCGCAGGTGGGCATGGCGGGGCAGCTCGGCGGCGGGGCACAGCCGGAACGAGCCCGACATGCCGAAGCGGAACACCAGGTCCTGCGCGGCGGGGCCGGCGGCGGGGTCCAGCGCGCTCAGCGTCAGCCGCAGCTCCTTGCCCCGGGCGACGGCCGAGATGCCGTAGGCCTCGCTGCGGAAGGGCACCTCGGGGCCGCGGCCCACGGCCGAGCGTTGCACGGCGCCCGCGAACACCAGCGCTCCGCACGCCCCGTTGATGAAGCGCCCGGCCAGGTGCAGCTCCGGGCACTCGGGCATGGCCGCGGCCGCTGTGCAGCCCGAGCCCGCCGCCGCCGCCGCACGGCCCGCCCCCATTGGCTGCGCGGGGCGCGGGGCGCGCTCCCATTGGCCGCGGCGCGGGCGGTGCGCGCTGCCATTGGCCGCGCGGTGATACCGGAGGTTGGTGCCCTGCCGGGGCTGTCCCGCCGCGGGGAGATGTTGCACAACGCGACAACGCACCGGGACACGGCTCAGCTTGGTCACACGGACTTTATTGGAGCTGCCCCGAGGACCCCCGGAAACCCGGAGGGAAAGGAAACCTCCTCCCCAGCCAGGAGCACCAGTCTGGACCCCCAACTCAGTGTCGCAGCGTCTGGCCGTGGCCCTTTTCTGGCTCCTCAGAGAAGGGTGTTCATCAGGGCCTGGGCCTGCTTCAGCTCTGCAGAGAGAGAACGGAGATGTGGGGGAGCTGCTGGTATTGCAGCACCACTTCCAGCATCCCCTTTCCAGCGTGCCTCCCACAGCAGTTCCCCCTGCAGAATCCCCCAGGAGGTCCCCGCTGCCATCCCTCCTGACGCCTCACCTGCCAGCAGTACCCAGAACTTGTTGGCCGAGAGCGTCACAGGGACAGCCGTCATCTTCTCACAGTCTCTGTCCCGCACGTTGAAGGTCAGGTGCACCACGGGCTCATTGACCTCCTGCAGCTCGCTGGAGCTGAGGGTGTAATCCACCCGCCAGTGCACTGAGCCCAGCTGGCTCACTAGGGTGGCAGTGGGACGGGGTCAGCAGCCCGGCTCACTCCAGCAGGGTGACCCCCGCACCCCTAGCGACACCCAACACCCCACTCACATCGCAGGCTGCAGGCCCTGAGCGTGTCCTGGAGGGGGCTCTGCTTCTCCTCGTAGGAGCGGCACAACCCGCTGGCATGCTCTGCTCGTGATGGGACACAAGAGAAGAACCCCTCTGCTCGCACCACACCTGCAGCTGCCAAACCCCACCAAAGCACCCCAGGGTCCCATGGCACAGAAGGGAGGTGATGGTGGACAGCACAGCACCCAGCCTGCCCTCCACTTGGGTGGAGCAACATCCCACCAAGTCTGGCTCATGGTGCCACGCCGAGGGTTTCCCCTACCTTTGGGCAGTCCCAGCTGCTGCAGCTCACTTGACAGAGACTCACTGTCTACATTGTGCTTGGCTGCACTGGAGAGGATGAAGCTGAGGACAGCGATGGTCGCCTTCACATCCCCGGACTCTGCACACAGGAGGAAGGGTGAGCTCTGTCACCTTGGGAAGGCATCCGCAGATGCATTGCTGCCCATCCCTGGAGCATGGCTCCATCAGGGATCCTGGCAAGGACAGCAGTGCTCACCTAACTTTGCATCTGAGGTCAGCTTCAGGATCTTGTCGTACTGTGGGAGAGCAGAGCATCACAGTAAGCACCACCTAACACACTCACTACCATTGTTAACACTAACAATTCTTGCCCAAACATGAATACTAATAACACGTACTATGCATATTACTACTACTAGCAGAGACCGGTAGCGCTCTTAACACTGAGGCTTGCATGAAGAACACGAGATTAATTAACGTTGCTGATTATGCCACTGCAGCGTTGGAACACTTGGCCTCCACTGCGGTAGCCCCACGCTTACCTCGATGGCCTCCCCCAGCAGATCCCGCAGCACCTGGGCGCAGATCAGCTTCAGCTTCACGGAGGACTGCGGGGGAGAAGGAGGGTGAGCAGCGGGCCTGCAGCGCACGGGGGGCGGGCAGGGGGACGCGGGGGGCGCGGGCACTTAACTATTTTGGCCAGGGTGCTGATCTCGGCCAGCACCCAGTCGGGGCAGTCCAAGTCCCCGCAGAAACGGAACCGCTGCGGGACAAGAGGCGGTCAGAGCCCGCAGCAGGCTCCGTACGCCCTCCCCGCTCCCCGCCACCGACCCCCTCCCCACCATGTCGGCGCCGCTGCCCGGTCCGCGCTGCTACGGCAGAGTCCGCCTGTGCGACCCGGAACCACTCCCGGGCCAGTGTCCGCTACGGCGCTCCCCGGCGCCGAGTGCGGCCGGGGCGCTCCGGCCGGGGCTCTGCGGGGCCGTGCAGCCCGGGCGGGCAGCGGAGAGCTCCGGAGGACGTGACGGGTGCCGGGGCCGCACCCCGCGCCCTCGGAGCGGCCGGGCCCCGCCCCGCCGGGCGCGGTCTCGCCCGCCAATCCCGGCCCGCCTTTCTCCGCTCTGTCCAATCACAGCCGTCCTCTCGGTGCGGGCGCGGTCTCGCCCGCCAATCGCTGGACGGGACGGGTCCCGAGGCCGCACCCCGCGCCCTCAGAGCGGCCGGGCTCCGCCCCGCCCGGCGCTGGCGGGGTCTCGGCCGCCAATCCCGGCCCGCCTTTCTCCGCCCTGTCCAATCACAGCCGTCCTCTCGGCGCGGGCGCGGTCCCGCCCAGCCCAGCCCGCGCAGGCGCAGTCCCGCCCCGGCCCTCACGCCGGCACAGCGCGCAGGCCGCAGGGCTGAGGGGACTGCAGCGTGCGGAGCTGCGGTGAACGTTCACAGACCTCGAAGAGAAATCAAGATCCGGTTCCAGTTGCACCTGGCCTCAGGGGAAGAGGCAAAGCTGGCGGCGAAATAAAGGTTTTTTG